ATTATAACATCAGCTGAGATAAATAATAAAATGAAATATTAAAATCACCATGTATCTCGCTGCAATATTGCACGAGTACGTTTCTAGTATATATATATATATATATATATATATATATATACTAGTTATGTACCCGCACAATGCGGCGGGACATAAATTTTATATAATATAAACGAGAATATCCATCGGAGTGTTTGGTCTTCATCATTTTTTTATGCCAACTTCAAAGACAAAATGAAATGGTAATTGTGGCCAAATTCAATATAAGGAGTCAAGTGAATTTCATCCTGATTTACATGGCAGCCAACACGTTGGTCCATCAAAAGAAAGTTTTTCCGTCCGGCCAACCATAAGAATGGTTGTCAAGTCCAAAATCTTTAAATAAAAGAGCTATCCCATTAGAGCAAGGGACAACAAGAAGTTGCTCATCACAACATGGCCCAACCTCCATTAAATAATTGAGTGACTCACCAAAATAATTAGGAGTAGTGGACATCTCCAAATTATGAGGTCCAATAGGAATGGGACAAGTAACAGGCCCAAATGTAGGAGAAAGAGGTTGCCGATTACCATTATTTTTTTCCGAAACACCTTGCCGGCGAGAAACTTCATCCACAGTCACTATCACATGCCGTGTGGGTAAAAAAGACAGCTGGGTTTTCCCACTTTTTTGTGTTTCCATGTACGGTTTTCCTTCCCCAAGACCCCCGCCATTTCCAACGTTAACCATGCTTGCACTTTTTCCTGCCAACACTTTTGCAAGCTTTCACCTTTTCCTGCCTCAACCGCAGATGCCTGCAAAGACCCATCTTCCAAAACAGTGAAAGGGCTAACCTTTTTGGAAAAAGGATTATCCAAAATCAGCTTTTTCCTTTCATTTTCAAGAAAAAAAAAAATCCTCCCCCATCGCATCATTTTCAAAGGTCAAAGACCTAGCCTTTCTGCTTTTCAGACCCGAGGAGTCACTTTCATGCAAGGGGGAACTAAAGAAACTTTTCACATCTTCAGTACTTTCGGTGCATGGAGGATTATCAAATAGGAATTTTTTTTTATTTTTTGGATTATTCATGGATAAGACCGTTGGATCATCTTCATGGGAGGTTTTGCTCAAAGAAAGTCCAAAAACGTTATCAACAGGAGATGAAATAACAAACTTTTCGTCATGAGAAAAGAGGACTTTATTTTCAGCAATGGATGTTGGGTGGCTGAAAGATAGATTTYGTTGACCACRAAGGCTTGAAGAAACAKCAATCYTCCCARTCTTTTCTTCCAAATGATTTTTAGAGATARAGACAACAATCCACGGGAGGGATGTAAAAGAGGGGTAAGGAAGGAACCCATTTTGAATATCCACAAGCTCTTTCTCAACTTCAGTACTTCCTTTTCCCATGTTGTAAACAGGAGCTTCGAAAGCCAAGGGAGGGGGGACTTTGCATAACTTCTCTTAGTCTTCTTCAGAAAAACTATTCTTGATCAAGGAAGGCAGATTCCTATGTTTGAACCTTTATGTTCATGAGAAATGAAGCATTAAAGGTTGTAGTTCTGTACCAATTCATCGGTGCACACTATCCAACATCAACCATTCATGAATGAATGTGATGAACTTTTTCGTTTTCTGAAACAATTTCCTTCATCTTCAAATTTATCCAGAAAACGAACAGCAAAAAATGAGACATACGAGCAAATAGAGAGTTCGTACGTACCTTTCTCTTCCTTACGAAGATTTCCCTTGCTAGCTTTGGAAGTCAATGAATCAGGTTCACGCCACCTAACTATATGAAAACAGAAATCGATGTTAACCAAAAAGAAATCAAAACGTGAAGTTGATTACCCCTTGAAGCTCTGGTATCCGTAGTTCTATATCCATCTTGATCAAAAAATTTCTACAAAATAAAGAACCAAAAGCYAGCTAGTGAATCACACAAAAAAAATGGTTCTAGTGGAACCAGAAAGGGAGACCGACCAAAAATATGCAAAACTCTAAATCAGAGATTTTAGGATTTTTGATTTGAATTTTGAATTTCTAAACCGGTCTTGACATAAATGAAATGCTAGAAAAGGAAGAGTAGCCAAGAAAGCAAGTTCTGACTATTGCATTTAAAGTCAATGTATATAAAACTTGTACACCATGTTTTATGAGTTGTAATTAAGAGTTTTTTGAATTTGTTGCATAAAACTATTGTAACTTATGCTTTAGGAGTTGTAATTAAGATAATGGCCTAAATGGTTATATATGTAGTATATATATATATATATATATATATATTTATATATATATATAGAGAGAGAGAGAGAGATGAGCGATCAAATGCAAACTACCCAATTTGTATAAACCGTGCAAACTATCCTCATCCGTCGATTTTATTGTTCAATCTTATGAAATTTTTTTATGAAATTGTTTCATATAATACTTTTTTTTATGAAGTTGTTTCATATATGGTTATGAAATTGTCTCATATAATACTTAATGAAATTTTAATGAAACTGTTTCATGTATTTCTCTAAAATTAAAATAACGAAGATGATAATATCAATGAGTAACACCCTCCACAATAAAAATGATTAATCAACCTCTCATAATTAGAAAAAAAAATGAACAAAATGAAAAATTATGATTGGTTGAATAAGGTTTGTACGGTTTGTACAAATAACGTGGTTTGCAAAGTCACTACTAAAAAACTTGGTTTTTCCGACGGCAAAATCCGTCGGAAAAACACCTTTCCGACGGATTTGCAGTCGGAAAAATCCCCGCCGCTAAATGTAATTTCCGACGGAATTTCTGACGGATTTGTAGTGCAAGGAAGATGAAGATGAACGCTACTTTCAACAAAATCGCATTTGGTTCCCTGTAACATTGAAAAAACTTACCCTTTTGTATATCCAATATATAATGATTTGGGATCATGTGAGACCAGTCTGTTTTCGTGAGACATGTGATACCACCTTTTTACACTTGAAACTTTACAACAAAATGCTGTGAATGTGACTTTTTTTTAACTTTCACAGTGTTTTTGCTGTGAAGTTTCAAGTGTAAAAATGTGGTCTCACGGGTCTCACAAAAACAAGTTGGTC